GGGGGCGGCCTTGGAGGTTCCTTAATAGTTTTTCCTATTTTCGTCTTCGAGGGAAAATTCCAAGAAAATACAACTGCTGATTGTGATAACTGATAAGTATGACCCAACTACTTGTATTGGTTTTTGAGTTCTTGAACTTAAAGGTTAACTAGATAATTTTATGAAGTATGAAATTTATTGCCATATACAGAAGAAAAACAATATTCCCTTCCAAGTAGTTGTGGGTTTTCTTTTTTATTGTTTTTTTTTTCTTACCCTAATATCTACTAAGTTTAAATATTCTCTTTGTCTTACATACCTCAATTACTTTAATAAAAAAAAAAAAGGTTCTCCTTTTCTTTTTCCCGTTTGTGAATCACTTGCTTGGACTGAGCCACCAGAATAATTTTGTTTACAGTGTCTGACTTGAACGATATTAAACTAAACAAAAGCTTGCTTACCATTTCATACTTAATTCTCCAATTTGTTGGCTAATATGTTAGTAAGAACTAGTGGGGAAATTTTGGAGTAATATGCCTTAGTGATATAGGAACTTGAAGAACACCATGTACTTGCAAATTATACATTCAAAGTGATGTGGGGGCTTCTTGTGTGGCCCTTTTCATGAATCATGAACATTGAACTTCTTGCTAGAAATGACTTGCTAAGATTTCCCTTGTCGATTACTGTGCAAGTTTCAATTAAGGGCCTTTATTACAAGTTGGAAGTTGATGTACTTTACATGTCTAGAGGAGTCGGGCACGGGGTGCCAATAGGCTCCAAGGCCATTTTGCGCCTACTTTGGAAGTTTGTGTGAATTATTGGCCATTGGAAAGGCCATTTGCTTCAAGACCAAGGAAACCACATAAAATCTGATCTTCTAGGTTGTTAAATGGTTCTGAAAGTTGTCATCAAGCAGGGTTTGGTACTAGAAGATTCAGGAGGACCGACCAGGAAAATATCATTATTCTATGCGCTGCAGAGAATAGAGATTAGTTTTGAGTTTGGATACGTTCCCTTGTATTGTTTCTATCAACCCGAACTTGGAAGTCAGCTGTGAAATTTGGGAAAGTGTAATAAAAGTCGAAAGAAGTGCTCTGCTAACTCTTAAAGCTCAGGGGTTCATGGGATGGTTAATATGTCACAATGACTTTTGAGTGTGGTTGAATTCTTTGGAAACCTTGAATGGATGTCCGCATAATTTTAATATCCATGACTCTGTTTGTCAAGATTTTTGACATACTCGTGAAAAACCAATCAATACAGCTGTGGAGTTCACGTTGATGATTCTCTCTATTCCCATTTGATTTCACTGCCATTTAACTAATAAGTTAAAATTTGAGTTGTTTCTTTTATTTCAGTTATTAGTGAGTATGAATTTTACGTTGATTCAAGCCCTCAAGTTTCTCCACAAATAGATTCTGCATAAAAATCAAAGCATCAAGAGGTTATAGCCAAATTTTTATTGTGGGATAATCAGTTAAGTTAAAGAGACTGTTCTCCTTTACTTTAGATACGGATTCTGTGTTAGTTACATAGCACTTTCAACTTAAAGCTCTCAAATGCCTACCTGAACAAGATATTTCATGATGTCTTCTTTCTGTCAACTCAATCAAGAGTTAAGTTGTACAAGATGTATTTCACTGCAGTAGGAAATTTTGTAACACCCGGTTCTTCTTTGTGAAAACCATAGTTTGTGCGTCTTATTTTATATTTCACGACAACTCATAAATTTATGGTTTTGGTATCAGTCTCTGTCCTAGACATATCTTTTAACAATTGTTGTTATTCAGAAATTTGGCCTCAAGAGTTATCTAGTTAGTTAACCTTGAAAGTAATTATACTAAAACCTTATTACAATGAAAAAACTCCCTTTTCAAAAGTCTGGCTCAATGGTCATGGCTAGTAGCTTTGAGCAAAACCATTTTGACTACTCAGAGCAGTTATGCAGTTAGCTCCTGACTGTCTATATTCTTCCATGGCAGGCGACGATCATAAAGGCGGCAGATTACAGCTATTGTAAATACGATAAAGATATTGCAACTGCCTTAGGCCTGAGTGCAGTTCTGTTATTGACTGTCAGTCAACTTCTTATAATGGTGGTGAGCCGTTGCTTGTGCTTCGGGAAGGCTTTAAGGCCCAGCGGTTCTAGGTCTTGCGCTATAGCACTGTTTATTACTTCTTGGTATGTTGTTAAGCCAACTTTCTTTTTTTTTTTCGGGTTGATAATGCTCATAGATAATTCTTGGTTTGAATTGCTTACCGATTCTTTTCAAAGCTTTATGCACTTCTGATGTTTCTCCCATTCAAGACTTAAAGTTGATCTTTTTCCGCATGTGAATTTCAGGGTATTCTTCATCATTGCTGTGTCATGTTTGCTCGCGGCATCAGTGAGAAACGCGTACCACACGAAGTACAGGAATGCCTTGTCGTGTAAAGTAGTAAGGAAAGGGATCTTTGCAGCTGGAGCTTCCTTCGTTGTCCTTACAGGTATCGTCTCAGAGCTCTATTACGTTAGCCATTCAAAGGCAAACGATGGTGAGGCGACTTATGCCAGAGACACCGGCGTGAGGATGGGAAATCTATAGTCTAATCTGGCTCTCTTTACTGAAGAAAAAGGAGGATTGCGACATGTCCTGCTTAGAACAATGGTTGGTTGGTAGACCTTAATTATGGTATCTGTGGACAAGAACAGAGCATGTGATATACACACAATTATTGTATGACACGGATTTTTTTTTTTTTTTTTTTGCTAGGGGGTATGATCATATGGAGTGTTAATTAGTTGGGATTTTACTCTTGTGCTTTTGCGTTCGTTCAAACTGGCTGTTTAAATTATAAAGTAAATATTATTCGTGTCTTGACGTTGTGAAAATTGCTTGGGGTGCACTATTGACATTGAGCATGATAACTAGTAGAGTGGCCTCCACCAGCGGGTATATTGTAGCGTGAGACCCATTCTCTGTATATTTAAACTGGTGTCTGTTTAGAGAAAAGGAGATAAATACGTGCATGAGTTTTGATTTTTATCTTTTATTCTTATTCAGTATTCTTTTAGTCAAATAACACTATATTAGTTAAAAAAGTATTAATCAAGAACAAGAAATAAAAATTTAAACACGTGCACTCTAAAGATAAATTAAGTCATTTTCTCGCCTTTTTATCATTGTTATTGACATCACCCTTTACTTCTTTCTTTATCCTTTTTCTTTTTTGTATGCTGCAAATTGTTTTCATGAGCAAAACTGCAAGATGTGATCTTAGAGCTTAACTACTAAGGTTCGAGGTTAGATGACACGGTTCCAAAACTAAATAAATAAATAAATAAAATAGATGGTATTGTCCTATGGTTCATGGGCGTCATCCGATAAAGGTAGAATTCACAAAAGGGAAGTTTGAACCCCTACTATTTGAAGTCTACATAACAAGATTTATCATCTCCAATTTTGTATATGATCAATCTCTCTTGACGAGACTTACATCAGTTGGATATCTCTAGTTTTAAGATAATTTTTTATTGGTAAGGTATAAAAATATTAGTATGACATAATTTTGAACTGTCAAATAGATTATACACTAAAATCGCTCAACGACTTGCTTCTTAACGCATTCTTGCCCAAATGAAATGGGATTAATTAAATTAATAAGCTAAGCCTATGCCAGGAAATAAGGATCCAACTTTACTCGAGTCATCGGAAGATCTATTCCTGCATTTGTTGTTGACTTGACTCTCGAGCTTCACACAAACACAATGGCATAGGTGATAGGTGCGATATGATAGAGAAATTTGCTAAACTTACCAGTGTATGAGTCTAAATTTTTACCATTTACTCTTGATTATACCCTTTTAATTAATATAGTTATTTGATTAAAAAATATATTAAGAAAGAGTAAGGGGTAAAAATTTAAATTCATACACTCTAAGAGGTATTCGTCTCTTTTTTTTAATATGAAACACATCACATAAGCGAGTGACTGAGATTGTTGTGGAGATCACCAATTCGAAAAACTCCCTCATAGATGATCTTTTGCCATTTTCCTCCTGCACTTATTCCTAACTAGATCCAATTTGACCTACCAGACGCAAGCGTGATACTTGCGTAGTGACCATCCACCCTATTGTTGGGCTGTCAAATTTCATAACCCTTTGTATCACCCCTTAAATTGGATTTTTAAAAAAAAAATCAATTTAACGAGACTTGATAAGGATGTAACACATCAGGACTTAGCAAAGTACTTTTTTTTTTTTTTTTACTCCAAAACTCTCCTATCATAAAGCTAGCGATGAACTGATTTTTTTGTCCCTTTGGGACATCCAAGTGGTTGGCATCCACTTATCTGGAGGACCTGGCATGGTTTCCCAAAGTGCTATTGAAACACAATTAATTTAATTTGAGCGTGGGGATCCTAAAACTCATTCTAACCACCATCTTCTAATGAAATATTCTGTGGGTCCATATCAAAATATGTGGGCATTGTACCTTGCTGTTAACGATAAAGAAACATGGCTTCGACTTGTGGCCCCCTAATGCACATGTTAGGTAGTGATCCGTATATATATGTGTGTGTGTATAGTACATACATACACATATATATATATATATATATAATATAATATGTGACTGGGGAACGAGAGGATGAGAAAAGACCAGCAATGGATTAATGAAGATTTTAATGCTAAAAGTACGAGCAGGGGCATTATAATGAACAATCAAGTATGCAACGTGATCACATATTATTCTGCAATGTCTTCGCAGGAGTATAAAATTAATAATGCTTCAAAAGCTGCCCTACGACCGAAATGCTGTCCAATATATAGTTCTCATGAATAAGTGGTCGTGAAATGTAAAGAGAAATAACAAATCCATGTACTATCCATTCATATATCCAAAACCATATATACCCACAAGAATCTTCCATCATATAATTCCTCTTAGCTAGCCAGCCCTGCTGGTTGGAGACCCCATTTCCTGTCATCCCTATCTCAATATGAAACGACATCTTTTTTCACGCCAGATGCTGAACACCGCATCAAAAAAAAATAATAATAAAATAAAAAAGTTGTAATTGGAGTTCATAATTTTTTTTTTTTTTTTTTTTTTTTTTTTTTTTTTGTGTTTTCAAGTGTTAAGAGAATTATGGATATTGATCTGTTTAGCATTATCTTGGGAAGACCTCTCTAATCTTTGGTTCATTCCGAAATTGTTATAAATAACCAAACCAGAGTTTATAATGTATAAATAGAAGAAATCTCTACTGCCTAGCTATATCATAAAACATACCGAATAATATTTTCATGGCAGTACAAATTTGCATCTCCCGAAAACTTCGATGATCAAATTCAACAATATCATATGAAGAGAAACATGATCGCTGAAATGGCCTTGTGGATGTGTATATACATTTGTGTGTGTGTGTGTGTGTGTGTGTGTGTGTGTAGAGAGAGAGAGAGAGAGAGATAGTTACCTATATATTTTACGTACATAGTTAGCAGAAAAACCATATTTACATGAATTAATATAACCACCAAAAAAAATTACGCAAGAGGCATTATATAGCGAGAATTACAAAGTGGACGTCTTAGCCTGAAGCTGGAAAAAAGATACAGCTCCAAACAACTTTATATCCCTCCAAAAAAACAAAAAACAAAAAACAAAAAATAAAACAAAACATATAATATATATGTATATAACACTAACACCAAGAAATCAAAAACAATACTACTATATTAATTTACCAGTATACAAACACGCCAAATATTCAAAAAGAAAACAAATCTATAGACACTGATAATTAGTGTTAATATAATTCCAAGAAAGAAAAAAAAGAAAGAAAGAACATTAATCTTTGATCATGGTTTGAAGTCATGAGCATCATCCCAAGGCAGATTGATATGATCAACAGAGACAAGAGTGTCTATGTCGTCCCAATTCCAGTAGTTTGGTAAGTCCATTCCATTGCTTGTGGCTGGCGGCACTTGCCATGGCGGCTGGACCGTACAGCTGCTGGTAATCGTTGCCTGATCTCCCATGAGTTTCATCTGATCGTCACCATAATCGCAAACGAAATTCGAAGCCTGAAATGAGTTCGAGATCGAAGAAAGGCTCGACTCGAAAGGGCTCGATGTGCTCGAGGAGAAGGCCTGAAACTGCAGGCCTTGATTTGGAGGAAAATTCGCGTGCAGGCTTGGATTGCTGAAGAAGGGCTTTGTAGGATCAGTTTTGGTTGAGATCAAGCTTTCATTGTCGAAATCTGACATGATATTCAAACTCTGTGGGTGAATTAGTACCGCCTGAGAGAGAATTTCGGATGTACTTTTCTCATGATCTTGATGATGATCACCAAGTAGAAGATTATTGTTAGGGAGAACACTACTGATATTGTTCTCCAGGACGATCGGCTGCTTAGCCTGAAACATGGTGCTGGTGGCGGTGGCGGTGGCGGCGGCAGAGGAGGCTGATGATTTCTTATTAGGCCGCTTATTATTCTTGCGGCCGCCGCCGACGGGGACGTTGCGGAGGGTTCCGCCTTTAGTCCAATGCCTCTTGCAAGCCCTGCAGAAATGCCTGGGCTGGGACTTGTTGTAGTTGTTGTAGTAGCAGAACTTTGTGTTGGTGGACTCACACCTTGGGCACTTCAACGGCTCTGATTGATTCTGATTCTGTTGCTGATTTCGCCTCATTTTCCATGACGATGATGATGATGATGGAGGTTTGTGATGATGATGCTCCAAGCTCTGATCATGCAGCAAAGTTTGACTCCAATCAAGACCGTCCCTACTGATTACCACCTGCTTAGAACTCAATCCCATCAAATTGCTAATATTACCCTGATGACGATCGCCCTAACAAGATCACAAATATTATTGACGATGATGAGATGAGAGAGCTGATTCTAGTATGCACTCTAGCCGTTGGATCGAGGAGGCAAGAGGAGAGTGATCAATTTGGAGAAGAGCAAGAGGAAGAGATTGTTGCTAATAAGAAACCAAATGGTAGAACTGAGCATGTCTTTGAGTCTGTCTTCTCTTTTATCTTTTTATAATATTTAAGCTATCTATATATATATATGTATATATGTATATATAGTGTATATATATCTAAGAAGAAGAGTAATAATTATAGAAAGACTAATTAAGACGTACGTACGCAGCAAAATTAACTTATAAACACAACTCAAAATTAGCAGCAGCCAAAGCCACCAAAATGGTTTTAGCTTGGAGAGAGAGAGAGAGAGTTTTTTTTTTTTTCTTTTCTTTTCTTTTTGCTATGAGAGAGAGTATTTTTGATTGATATACAACGTGTGGGGTTTAATAACGGCCAAAAACCCTATATGAAGTTATGATGAAACCTATAGAGCTATATAAGAATCTAAAATATCAATCGCACCATATATTTTTCCTTCACACAATATATATTATAGAAATTAATTAAAGAGATTATATATATATATATACATATACATATACATATATATATATATAGATATGATCAGTGAAAGAAAAGAGGAGAGAGAAATTACTTAGCACCTAAGGTGAAGGTGCGTTGGTGCGCCACGTGGAGAAGGAAGAGCCGTGGATAGTGCTGTGTTACATGGAATAAATTTGGACGCTATTGGTAAAAAAGCAGGGACGTAGATGTGTGCATGCTGAGGTATTAATTTAAAAAAAAATTTTAAGAATTTATTTTTGAGAGTGTATGAATTTATACTTTTATTTTTTATTCTTGATAAATATTTTTTTATTAAAAAATTATTAATTAAAAATAAAAAGAATATTTGTTAAGATTACTCTATTAAATAATATAGTAGTAATAATTGAGGGAGGGGAAAAAGAAAACTTAGCGATGAAGAGGGAATGAAAGTACGTTAACGGTGGTGTCCTAAGGGGCTAAGGGGGCGGCGGGGCTGTGGGGACTCTCTTTTTTTTTTTTTTTTTTTTTTTTTTTTTTTTTTTTTGTTTTTTTTTTAGGCTTAACCAATAGTTGGCATCACGTGGTCACCGGTGGGGTCTATGTTAAACTTCTAACGAAAGGGGGTTTTGATGACCCCATATTGGCCAATCTATACAATCTACATGTGATTTCACGTTTGTGCCTTGTAAAGTGGCTTGATCAATGCATTACTAATTAATTGTTCATAAAAAAAGCTTAAGAAATATTGGTCGGAAAGTTTGTGATCCCCAATCTAATGATGCTTGACCTTTTAAAGGTCATTTCTCATCGGACGATGGTTGGGTTGTTAACTTGTGGTAATTATTGTTTGAAAATTATTGTTTTATCAAAATTTTATTAAGGGTAATATGTGGATCTTACACTTGTAAATTTGGTTGTTTTAATTTTTTTATTTTAATATATATATAGAAAGGGTGACGATTTTAATTAGTATTATTTTAGAGATTAGAGAAAACACAAAAAATTGTGAGATATGCGATTTCTCTTGTAATCTTAATATTATTATTATTATTATTATTATTATTATTATTATTATTATTATTATTATTATAAGTAGTTTGTAGTCTCACATTGATATGAACTTCAATAAATCTTACGTGTTTGCGTGCTTGTTTACTTTTTTTGTGAATTTATTATTCTCGATAATATAAAATTAAGGCATTTTAAATAATAGTATCGTCTATTCTTTGAACTCAATTTGCATTCTTAGATATTCAACTAAATTGAAGTGTAACTGTCAAGTGATGACATGTCACATTAATCTCATTATGTCCTTTTTTAATTTTAATAAAAAAATAAAAATAAATAAAAAAATATGTATTTCTAATTGGTAATTGATCTTTTCAGAGCTGTTTATATCAATTTGGAACTATCTTAAAAAAAAAAAAAAAAAAAAAAAAAAAAAAAAACGTGTTTTGTCTCCGTGTTGGTGGTTTTGATCTCCTAAATAGGATTTTGGTGATCCCCAACTATTTGGCCATGCTACAATGTGATTTCACATTGTGCCCTTCAAGTCGATCAACACATATCATTCAATTTGTATATACATCTTAAGAACATATACACTGCTTAATTAGTCAACTCCATTTTTTCTTATTTTTTTTTCTTAGTTATAGGTAGACACCATTAATTACCACGATCTAATCTAACGAAGTTTCGGCCTCGTTCAATTCGCCGATTCGAGTTTTTAATTTGAGCTGGGATATGACTTTTTGTGAGAGCTTTTAATTGTAGCGAAAAAAATTAAATGTGACTTTCTGCGATAACTTTTAACTGTAGTAAAATTGGAATTGAGAACTCGAATCGGTGAGAAGAACGAGATCTTGATCATGTCACGCTTTAACACATATTGATCAGTGAAGCTTATAAATAACTGCTGAACTGTTTTATTTCAGCGCGCCTCCTCTTACTTTGTTTTCTGCGATATTATTTCTTTGATTAGTTGGTTTTTGACTGATTTCAGTCTTCACATCACATATGGTATACCAATATCAGATTAAGCAAAAAAAAAAAAAAACTTTTACTGGACTTGGAAAAAGATAAGCAGATGGCTCTCAAGGTGGAGACGCCAAAGCCACCGTCAGATCAATGGTGTTTGACGATATTCGAATACATGCTAATTGGCCAGGAATAATATTTATTTTAAAAAAAAATAAGAATAAACAAGCATCAGTACCTACTATAATTATATATATGGTCGTTATATGTGTGCCTAGTCTAGCTATTACTAGGAATTATATCATTGTACTAAATTTATTTGCTGGGATCGTGCAATCTAAACTCATACTTAGTACTGATGACTAATAACATTCATTTAAATGCATGAATCAAGACTAATTACATGCTGCAATAGCTATAAAACAGATGTATCTGGGATTATTAATTGTTTTCAACAATTTAATTATTATTAGTGTTTTGTGCGTGTATATATTTATATTGGCCGTCACAGAATTAGGACCGGGATATCCACGTGCAGGTAAGATAATTAAGGCACGATGGAAGCTTTAATTTTTAAAAGTTAGAAAACAAGTCTTTGATTAATGTGATGGAATGAGAAGGGAAAATCAAACTCGGTCGGTTGGTTAGGTAAAGTATGTTGTATGGTCGCCATCCACATTTTTCAAAAGGATAAAACGGAATGTCTGTCGTCGCACAACTTGAAACCTTGACTTAGAAAATCAAATTACGGTTAATTAATACAATGAGGATTAATCAATTAAGACCAAAACAGTCCAATATGTCCACTGAAGGGCCAATTCCAAAATTATATGTCCATTTCTGACTTATATAACCAAAGTTCCATTTCTTAGAGCTTAAATAACTGAAACGCATGCCAGACTTTGGTGGCTTTGGGCCCTCCTTTTTTCCTTCATTGCAAGAAGCAAATCTTTAGTTGTGTTTTTAATTTATGGTCTCGTTCATTTTACCGATTCGAATTTTGTTATTATAAAAAGCTTTTAAAAACAGTCACATCTAATTTTTTTATTACAATAAAAAAATTTAATATAAAATCTCATCTCACCTCAAATTAACGAATTAAATTAGTCCATAATATCGCCCGCGTGTGTGTGTATCACTATCATCCAACGTGTCTTGACATGATGTTTTGGGGCCCTTAGGATGGACAACTTGTGTACTTGATGATTCCAGATAGGTTTGGTGCAGAATTAATTTTAGCTCATTTTAGTTAAATTAATAGAGAAGTTTAGGTTATATCTATATTCATATTTATATTTATATCTATATCTATATTTATACATAGATAAAAGAGCCAAAATATTTTTCTTTTTTAACATGTGTCGTTATAAGAAGATTTCTCCTTCTTTTTCCTTCTTTTTGATGCATAGTACCACTTTTACCTTTCATTTCTTATTTTTCTAAAAAAAAAAAAAAA